ACAAAGTCCGGCAGCAACCGTGCGACGCTCCTGTAAAAATATAATATTTAAAATTTTAATAATAATAATTATTTTTTTTTTTTTTCAAATCCGAGGGAGTCACCGCCCCTCTGGTCTACATGTGGCTCGGCCACTGTTGACAGCGGTAAAGCGCAACGGGTAACAAAGTAGTACAACGATCGTGGATAAAATAGGAAACAAAGTCCGGCAGCAACCGTGCGACGCTCCTGTGAAATCTCTAGAAGGAGCAAGAGAACAATAGATCTCAGGAATGATGATGGGCTTGCATTGTAGCAAGAGAGATTTTTTTTTGGTAAACACCAGATTTTGCAGTGTGTGAAGTCAAGTAGTTGGATGAAGAAGGTGAAAATGAAAGGAAGCGGCACTGTGGAAGTGAATTGAAAGGTTTAAAAAAATTTAATGGTGTTGATTGTTTTGATTACGTCAAATGATTTAAGTTAAATATGTCATAAAAGCTGATGTTTAATTTTCGAGTAACTCTTAGGGAATGTTGATGTTTAATTAATATTATCATCCTTATTCACAAAAAAATTAAAGAAAAGATTTAAATTAAAATTATTTTTTATATAAAATAAATATGTCATAAAAGCTAGACCCCAACTATAAAGTTTAAATTTCAAAAAGAACTACTACAAAAATCCAACAATAAACGAACCAAACCTACGCATTCAAATGATTCGTTTCAAATTTTAAAATGATTAAATTAATTAATCAAAATTTTAAATCTCATCCATTCAAAAAAAAATCTCCCGATCCTCTAAATTATAAATTGTAAAAAAAAAAATTCAACAATAAAGGGTGGCAGTTGAACGTGTCGGTTAACAAAAATTAAATATTTTAATTCGTTAGTTGTTTCCGTGATGGACCAAGTGGTAACTCTATGTTCTAACCTAAACCTAAAGCTCACGGATGTGGTTTTTGGGCCACCAACCGGGCCGGTTTTTTCGCTCAGCCCCTGTCTCTTCTCTTGTTTGCTCTCAGCGTTAGTACTTCATTTGTTTTTTTTTTTTTTTTTTTTGGCCATTATTGATGCATTTAATTTAAGGCACGATTTGTGAAGTCATTTTTTTTTAACTAATACAATTAGGGAATTGAGGAATAGAATGGTTAACATTCAACTTCTGAATTTTTAGACATTATTATATTTTTAAAGAAATTGTAACTTTTGGACCAC